CCCAGCTACTCGGGAGGCTGAGGCAGGAGGATCACTTGAGCCCAGGAGTTTGAGGTTGCTGTGAGCTAGGATGATGCCATGGCACTCTAGCCTGGGCAACACAGTGAGACTCTGTCTCAAAAAAAAAAAAAGGCCTATTATACACAAAGCACCAAGAGAATACAAAAATGTGGTAGAAGAGATAAGAAAGATTCCAACAACTATTATAAAAGACCTGAAAGAGAAATAAATGGTACAACTATACATGCATTCATGAGGGAGAAATCACTTCCAGCCCTAGTAATCTGTGAAGATTTTGCACAAGCAGCAGCATCTGAACTAGGCTTGAAGGATACAATAGATGGTCACAGGGATGGAGGTGGGCAGAAGGGGAATTGTATTTCTGATAGAGAAAGGGAATGAAATGGAAAATGGGCTTGATGATGCATTTAGGAAGTGATGAATGGTTCACTCTCAAAAAACGTAACGTCCTTCATGCATTGCTGGTGGAAATATAAATGGTGCAGCCACTGTAGAAAAAAAGCTTGGCAGTTCTTCAAAAGTTAAACGTAGAATTACCACGACTCAGTAATTCCACTCTTAGGTATATACCTAAGAGGAGAATTGCAAACATACATATTCATATAAAAACTTACACACAAATGTTTATGGCTGCATTATTCATAATAGCCAAAAAGTGGAAACAACCCAAATGTCCATCAGTGGACAAATGGATAAACAAAATGTGGTATTATCCACACAATGGAATATTATTTAGGCATCAAAAGGAGTAAGAACTGATACATGATATAACACAGATGAAACCTTGAAAACATTATGGTTAGTGAAAGAAGGCAGACATAAACGATTGCATTATATGATTACATTTATAAGAAATGTCCAGCATAGGCAAATTCATAGAGACAGACACATTAGTGGTTGCCTGTGGAGTGGAGGAGGGAAAACTGAGAGTGACTGCCAATGGGTCTTAAGTTTCCTTTGGGAATGATGAAAATGTTCTGGAATTAGTGGTGATTGCTGTACAACCTTGTGAATATTCTAAAAACCACTGAAATATAGACTTTAAAAATGGTAAATTTTATGGTATGTGATTATATCTCAATTTTTAAAAAGACACAGGTACCTAGAATACAACTACGGCGTTAGGCTGGAAACAACTGGGGATAGATTTGAGTAAGACCATGTAAAAAGTGACAGATTGTACATTGCCTGCCTGGTCACTATCATTAGGAAGAGAAAGAACCAGTAGCAACGCGCTCCTCGGCATCGATGATGTTAGTATCGCATATGTAAAACAACACATTCCTAAGTGCTTGGGAAGAATCAAGTTGAGAAGAAAAATACAAAATGGTGATGCGCCCCTTGCTTCAGAGGGCTTATAACTTCTCTTTGAAAAATTTAATACATAAAACAACTTACTGAGTTTAATTCTTCTATGTTTTAAAGTGCATGAAAATTCAAGTTTCAATCAGGCCACAAGACATAATGAAAAGAATATTGCAGTAGAGGATCAGGAGAATGAAGTTCGAGTACTAGTTCTATCAGGCACTGTCTGTAACTTCAGACATATCAATTAATCTTTCTGACATTCAACTTTTTCTTCAATAAACAAAGACAAGATCTGCCCCACCTACTTTACAGGGCTACTGAAATGATGAAATTAGGTAATGGAAGTAAAAGCATTTTGAAATAAAACACTATATAATTTTTAGAATATGATTCTGTATAATTATATTTCTTTTGTCCTGTCCACAGTATCTATTTTCTATACCTTTTAAGCAGAAGAATCATAA